ACCCATATTCTTACATGGGTCAAATTAGCCTAAATTTCAATCCTGATTTATTAGCTATATAACCATGGGAAGGTAAACTCTAACCTTTTTAAGTCTCTTTGAACTCAACTGTTTAATGGGTATAATGATGCTTATTCACAGGATGTCATGCGGATTTAAAAGACACTACAGAAATACCCTCAAGATCCAGGACCCAGAGCACTTCTCCCCCCAACCCTCACCCGTACCCTCACCTCCACCCCACCAAAAAAATAAACTAAAATAAAAGACACTACATACGAAGTATTTGAGTACTACCTGGGCCACAGAAAGGGCTTAATATGTAAAAGCAATATCATTATCAATTATTATTAGTATTCATAAAAAATATCCCTATGTTGGAAGACAGGCAATGAAAGCATAAGCTTTCACATATACTTAACATTTAATACTAGCTATAAAAATTAATGGTGCCAATGCTAGAGACCATACCAGTACTGGGAAATTATAAAATGAGTGATTGCCTAAATATACATAGATTTTATGTTCACTGAACTATGAGATCGATATTTCAATTTCCTTTTGTATTAAGTTTGTATCCTATGTATAACCACATAATGAAATTTATTTTGAAAGATGACAATCTTTCCTTTAAAATTATATAGGCTTTGGAATTTTCTGAATATTAACATTTCAGTGTTGGCATTCTTTGTTTTTTATCAGCTTACGTTGGAAAAAAAAGATTATTTTCCTTGGGTGAGTTTTAATTTTAAAATACAATTAAAATCAAAACAAAAGAGAAAATGAAAGATGTAGATCACAGCATATGTAGGCCAAGGCAGAAAACGCAACAGATTAACTCCCTTTTTTCCAAACCTTAAGTTTTGCAAAATGACATTTGGGGGTTATTTTCTAGGCTTCTCAAATTTAGGAAAAGTGTGACTAGATTAAAAGAGAGAGAGAGAGAGAGAAAGAGAGAGAGAGAGAGAGAAAGAGAGAGAGAGAATATTTCCAGAACATGAGGTGGCTCATCTTAAAGATATCCTTAAGTTTTATGCCATATGCATGTAATGAACATTTAGAGTTTTAAAATGATTTTTATGTTTATGTGATTGGATATTATAGCAATCCCATTATGCTGGTATAATGTACCCTCCATTTTTTGTAGAGCATGCTTGGAAAGAGAAAGGATTTCCTTTTATTTGAGCACAATTTGTACTTAGTCCTAATAATACTATAATTCGTCTTTAGTAATCTATATAGATTCCATTTATCTCTAAATTCAGATGAGGAAAATGCCCCCATCAAAGCCAGGGGAGTTTGAACCTCACTGACCAGGAGGAATAGACACTGATCTTTTGGTTCTGAGTTCTTTGAGAATACAAGCAAAGCAGCACTGGACAATGAGAGAGCAGAGCTTAACTTTTGAACCTAAGGCCTCAGGTCAGCTTTGCTCTTTTTCTTTCTCATATTATTCGGCTGTTCTTTTTAATCCACAGGCATTTCAGAGATGGGGCTCTGAACAGGCAGGGCCATGGTGGGCCACATGAGCAGTCCTGGAGCCTTCCTTACCTTGCATGAATTCATGAGCCAGTTAAGATTTAGCCTTCTATTATTCAAGCAGTTAGGAAAATGCAGAGGTTATTATGTGGCTTCAGTTTTAGACTTAGGTTTGTTTTCCTTTCTTTATAACAAAAGTCGTTTGGATGATATGAATGTAAACATACGAGAGGTTATCCAGTCTGTATTTCCCTAGATTATTCCCTACAAGTATTTTCTTACTCAGACCTGAAACATCTATCTCAACATCAGCTTGGAATCTTAACCTAACAGTTAATCTTAAACTTGCAGACGTTTTGAGTAACAAAAATGGGAATGTAGATAAATGCTCTAAACCTAACCTCAAAGTATATTTTCAGATTTAAATTTCTATTTCTATGTGTATACACATACTCTTGTATGTGTGTATAAATACATAGGAAGGTATACACACACACACACACATACACACACACACATACATACACACATGTATGGATATGTATATCCTATATAATAAAAGGGTAATATGCAAATTGACCCTAATGGTGAACAACCACCAGGGGGAAGACACTCAACGCAAGAGTTGCCCCCTGATGGTCAGTGCACTCCCACAGGGGGAGCTCTGCTCAGCCACAAGCCAGGCTGAGGGCTGCGAGCACAGCAGTGGTAGCGGGAGCCTCTCCACCCCCTTGGCAGCACTAAGCTGGCAGGTGGACATCCCCCGAGGGCTGCTGGACTGCAAGAGGGCACAGTCCAGGCTGAGGGACACCCCTGGGTGCACAAATTTTTGTGCACTGGGCCTCTAGTACAAACATAAAATGTATAGCATATGTATTATGAATACATTCATATATCTGTCTATTTCCTACACACCCAGAAATCCCCTGCTTTGTGATAATAAAAATGGTTAGGATGCCTGATCAGACCCTTCATACATAAAGTTGTAATTACTATAATCAATTAGCTCTGACCATATCATGAACCCACTCCTCCACCTCTGCTCAAAACCTGGCAAGGCTTCCTCATAATTACTAGAAAAAATAAGGCCTTCCATCATGAGGCTAAAATCTCTTTTTTTCAGCCACATCTTACAATACTCATCCCTTTGATAACTCTGTAATTCCAGAAGCTTCTCTTTCCGTGATTCAGACCAAAAAAGCAATTTTCCAGACCCCTTCACACTCCTCATTGCCTCCTAGTTACCCTTAGGTCTTGGTTATATTTTCATTCAGGGATCTCTTTCCCAGAAATTCAATCTAAAAATATTCTCCACTGGCATTCTCCCCTTTTTTGTGGCACCACTTCTAGGGGCATGTGCACCGGTGTGACTAATTGTTGGATGTCCTTCTCCTCCCCTAGATTGGAAAATCACATTTGTCTTCCTCAGTTTTGAAGCCCCAGCTCTAAGCACAGTGCGTGTTTTCAAATACAATTAGAATGTTACAGTTACAAATAAAAGGATTCAAGCTTTCATATTGCTCATTCATTCTGAACACCTTTATTAATTTCATTTCAGAAATATTTTGCAATGAAGCTAAATGGGTTGACCCTGTCTGACCATCAGACAGCTTATCTGTGATCCATGTAGAAAAAACTCATCGTACTATGAAAAGCAGCAAAAGCTTGTCATTAAAATAGGAGATAAGATGCAGTCCTAGTTCACTCAAATCATGCTGGTAGTTTAGGCAGAGAAAGTAACTACAAAATCCTTGGTGCTGGAAATGTACAAGCAGGCAGGACACAGGAGGAGATTCTAATCTTAACAGGAACAAGGTTTGGGGTGTGTCCTGGGTGCTCTGCAGGTTCAAACTATACAGAACAAGCATACAAGGTAATTGGGAACAGAATTGCCTCTTCCATCTCCCCAACTCTGAATGTCCTCAAGTAAATTTGCTCCCATAATGCTTTTCAAATAGCAGAAAGGCCCACACAGGGCAGACAAACTGTTCTCTGCCAATAGAACCATCAAGTGTTACCTTGGAGATAAGGATCCTTTGCAATCAAACCCATGTCCTAAAAACATCAGATAATCAGCCTACAATACACAGTGCTTAGATCAGAAAATGAGAGCTTTCCAATGGCCTAGAGCCGCCACGCTGCTTGAAACAAAATCCCAAATTCCTGAGTCCTGGAGATCATTGAGACATTGGATGCATATGGCAATGCTCTTAGAAAGAGTAGGAAGCCACAGGAAAATTTTCTCGTTTTATTTCTATGTATTTCCGTAAACAGATTCGAATGGGAAGATTGTTTTCCTCATTCATGTATCATTTGTCATACACCCACACAAAGCAGTGAGAGACTGTTCTTTCCCCCAGTGAATTTACCATTGAAAGGAGAACCAAAACACATGCAATTTCTAACTATTTACCAACAAGTGAGACTCACGACTGACAAAACAAGTAGGAAAAAGCACCAGTAACCCACATGCCCACCCCCACTCCTTCCTGCCCATCTGAACTACTGCAACCAAGACAGGAAGGACTTTCAATTCGAACCAGACTGTGAATTCAGAAAATAAAATTGGACCGCAAAGGGTTAACAGGATTAAGGAAGGGAATAAATCAGTAAAAGCCCTTAACTAAGTGCCAGGCAGGTAGTTAATCACCTTAACTACGAACAATCACAATTATGCCTAAACTACATAATCTTCACTTAGGATCATCTCCTTCAGTTACTTCCTTGTAGTTTAATAGAACAATAGACTAACCTTGGAATGGAGATAAGAAACGCCCTAAACTTTGGAATAGAATGGATAGGATTAAAATCAACAGAACTAGATGGAGATGGGATTTGTCAATGAGGACCCAAAACATACCATGATGTGATTATAGAGGCATGTTTATAGGACCAAATGGTATAAATACAGATGTAACAGAACAGAGAGTGAACCTGACTACGCTGCTTCCGTGTCATTCCTTCTTTGCAGACTCCGTCCACACCTTTGGGAACCCCTGTACCTGCTGGGGCTGGACCCCGCATCCAGGGAGCCGCATGGGAAGAACAGAAAGGAAGCCCTCGCTATCCTCAGGCAGTTTCTGGGCGTGTTCCCGCCATTCTGGACCTAGAGGCCATGGGATCAGAAGGTGAGAGAAGCACAGAGCACTGGGCCTGAGAGCCCGGGCGGAGGCATCAGGTCACCGAAGCACCGGGCCACAGGCGGGACCCAGGTGGTGAGGCCGTGCCCTGAGCCTGGTGGTGGCGGCAGGTGGTGGCAAAGGAAAGCCTGTCCTCCACAGACCCGAGTTTGGGCGGAG